AGCTTAGCAGGAAGACACATAAATAAGTAAATATTTGGCCACGAAGAATAGCATGCTCTGAGAACTAGGGGGGACCTGATTTGGAATGGTGAGGGGTCAGAGAAAACCTCTCTTAGGAAAGGACATTTATTTATTTAGTTCGTTTTAAGATTTTATTTATTTTATCTGTCAGAGAGCGAGCACAAGCAGGGGGAGCGGCAGGCAGAGGGAGAAGCGGGCTCCCCACTGAGCAGGGAGCCCGACTCAGGACTCGATCCCAGGACCCCAGGATCATGACCCGAGCCAAAGGCAGACGCTTAACCGACAGAGCCCCCCGGGCGCCCCAGGAAAGGACATTTAAAGCAGGATGTGAGGAACGAGCAGAAGTGGGGATAAAGAGCCTCACAGGCCTAGCTTTCAGAACCCTGCCCGCTTTTGGCACCAGCCTCTTCTGGGAAGCCCTATCTGCTGATTCCTCCTTGACGTGTATTGTTGCCTGTTCCAAAGGTCCATAGCTTTTTCTTTCTTTTCTTTTTTTCTTTTATGCACGAATGGCTTCCTTTGAGAATCTGCTCAAGCCACTGGACCCTTTTCCCAGGAAAGTATACCAAGGGAAGACCTACAGTATGTTGCTCTGAGCTCTCTTCTCCCAGTTCACCCGAGAGAAAATTCCAGAAGCTGTTAAGTTTGGCTGCGTTGAGCAGGGAGGGAAGTCAGGACTTTGCATCTCTTCCTTGTTATGTTTTGGGACTTTGAACTGCCTCGAGGAGGAACGTGCTGCCAAAGGTCAGTTGTCTGATTTCCGGCAGTGGCTGCCAACGGAACACCAAAGATCTGTGATTGTCATTGCTTCTTGTCAAGAGCCTCTGAGCCCTCAGTTGAGAGGAAATACCCAAGTAGCCTGCAAGCTTGTGGGGGCTGCTGGGGGCGGTGAGAGGGAGGCTGCTGTTGGAGCTGTATGGCCACAGTCCTGGAAGAGCCTGGCTGAGAGGTCTTCACGCGTGGCCATCCTGCCCGTCTTGATGCCCGGCTCCGAGCCCTTCCGTGGCTCTCTGGTGCCCTGAGGGCAGGCTAGGTATCTTAGCGTGGCACACAGGATGGGACTGTGCCTAACCATCCCCACCTGCTCTGTCCAGGCACACCCTACCTATCTGTCTGTTCCAAGTGCTGCGGATTCCCTGGGCTGAACACGTGTGGCTTTCTAAGTGCAGTTTTTCCTGCTGAGCTTCCTTCCTTCCTGCATCTTTAACAGGTCAATTCCTAGATGTCCTTCCAAATCTTGGCTGGATACATCTCTCCTCCTTGAAGTCCCCACTGACTGCTCCTTTATGCCGATGGGCTCAGGGCATTTGCTACTCACCACTACAGTTCAGTCCCTCTTTCTGCCCAGGTTCTCCCCCTCCCTGCCATCATTCCTTCCACAACTGGTTATTGGGCACCTGACGATGTTCCCTAGTCACCCTAAGGTGGTGACAAAAAGGTGAGGAGCCAAAGCAGACCCAAACCCTGCCGTCAAGGAGTTTGAAATCCCATGTTGGCCACATAAATTCATCAACGAAGATGATAATACACAAAGAAGTCAGGTCTTTTTTTTAAGGAAATTAAACTAATGATAAATCTTTTCCATGGTTTAAACAAACAAACAAAAAAATCAGGGAGCCTGGCTGGCTCGGTTGGTGGACCTTTCGACTCTTGATGTCCAGGTTGTGAGTTTGAGCCCTGTATCTGGCATAGAGATTACTTAAAATGAAGGGTTGAAAGAAAAGATACGTTGAAAGTCTTGTGATCTCAGGTCTGTTGCAGGTTAAATAAAGCCTGGGGTCTCAGGACTTTTTCCAAACTCAGTTTCTTTAGGTGTAAACATAAGGGAGAGGCAATAACTTATTCACCTAGGAGCACCTTCCATGAGCAAAACTCTAGGGTTACCAAGAGAGCTCTCCCGGCCTCGGGGCTCTGTGAGGGAAGGAGCTGGACAAGAAGAGATCCCCTGGCTTTTTCCTTTGCAGTGTTGATCACAGTTTGGACTGGTGTGATTGCCTTATCATTTGATTTCTAGCTCTCTCTTACTGGGCCATAAACTCCATGAGAATGGGTGATGTGTCCATCTTATTCTTTTTACAACAGCTTTATTGAGAGATAATTCATACGCCGTAAAATTCACCCTTTTTAAGTATACAATTCAGTTGCCTTTAGTGCATGCAGAGTTGTGCAACCATCAACACTATCTAATTTCAGAATATTTTCATGATCCCAAAGAGAAAGCCCATATCCATTAGCAGTCACCCCCCATTAACCTCCACCTACCCCTAGCTCCCAGCAGCCACTAATGTACTTCATGTGTTTGTATGGATTTGCCTATACTGGACATTTCATATAAACAGGACCACAATATGTGGCCTTTTATGACTGGCTTTTCTTCGCATAGCATGTTTTTAAGGGTCATGTTCATGTTCTTCTTTATGGCCAAATAACATTGCATGGTATGGATATACTACATTCTGTTTATCCATTCATCAGCTGATGCACATTTGGGTTGTTTCCATTTGGAGGCTATTATTGATTCAAGCTAGCTGGGTCTGAGGACCCAGAGGAGGTCCCGCAGGGCCAGCCAAGAGGGTCCTCGGCTTCTCGCAGGATAGAAATCAAACATGAGCCAAGAGGAAGTGAGAGCAGTTCGTTGAAGACGTAGAGCAGATACAGACATCGTGTCTGGAAGACTCAGAAAGGAAAGAAGAGTGAGTCTCCTCTTTGCTTGGGGCCTGGGGTTTTTATTGAGGATGGTGGTCTCGTGCAGTGTCTTCTCAGGCATCCAGGAACAAAGAGGAGTATTTAGGTGTCCTCCACTTATGCCCAGAGCCAGGAGTCTTGGTGACTCATTAGTCTTGGAAAACGTTCATGTTGCTCCTGCCCCATCCCTCCTGAGATGTTATCTGTTGTGCTGAAAGACTCCAAAGAAATCATTAACTCCTTGACCTTTACAAGGAGGACGTTACTGTACCCTAAGGTGTGGGGTGGGGGATAGGTCCTAGCAAGAAGAGAGGCAAGAAAAAAAAGTAGTTTTTCTTAGGGTCCCTTCAGTTTCCCTATCTCATGTTGGATAATGCTGCTAGAAACATTCCTATACATGTTTTTGTGTGGCCATATGTTTTTAGTTTCTTCACATCCTCACCCATACTTGTTTATTTTCTGATTTTTGTTTATATAATGGCCATTGTAACGGGTGTGAGGTGGTATCTCAAGGTGGTTCTGATTTGCATTTCCCTAGTGATTAAGTGTTGCACATCTTTTCACGTGCTTATTGGCCATTTCTGTCATCTTTGCAGAAATATCTGTTCAGTCCTTTGCCCATTTTTAAATTAGGTTGTCTTTTTATTGTTGAGTTGTAAGAGTTCTTTATATATTCTGGACACAGCCTCTTACTGATACATGATTTCCAAACATTTTCTCCCAGTCTGGGTTGTCTTTTCACTTTCTCGATGTTGTCTTTTGAAGCATGAAAGTTTTAAATTTTGAAGTCCAATTTAGGTATTTTTTTCTTTTGTTGCTTCTGCTTTTGGTGTCATATCAAAGAAACCATTGCCTAAGTCATAAAGATTTGCTTCTGTTTTCTTCTAAGAGTCTTAAAATCTCCAATGCCTGGAATAATGTCTGATATATAGAAGGTACTCGATACTTACTGAGTCAAATGAATGAATTAATATATCTTGAATGAGGGCGCTGAGGTGGCTCAGTCCGTTAAGTGTCTTGCCTTTGGCTTAGGTCATGATCCCAGAGTCTCATGTCTCCCCGGGCTCTCTGCTCAACGGGGAGTCTGCTTCTCTGCCCCTCCTCTGGCTCGCATGCACGCTCTCTCCTGCTCACTCTCTGTCAAATAAATAAAATCTTTTAAAAAATAAACATTTAAAGAAGTATCTCTTGAATGAATGAATGAACAGATATCTCTTGTCCCAGAACTGTTGCTACCTGCGTAGAGCCTCAGGGCTAAGAAAGTGGCTATACTGCCGAGGGGCTCCAGTTTGTTTGAATCTCACCCCCAGTGAATCTGCCATGAGTGAGCTCCCACAGTTCCTTTTCTGCCATCTCCTTCTTGCCCGTTTCCCCTCAGTTTTGCTTCTCTTTAGTTTCTTCACTTGACAAAATGTAGCTACGGCATTTCCTAAATAAATCATGTCTGGCCTACTTTGGTTAAATTGCAAATAGGGTAGGTATATAAGAAAACTTTTCCTGTCATAAAAATCTTGGTGGGTTTGATATTTCTTTTGTGGGCTTTTCTTGTGTCAGAGAAATATGTTCAGATAACATGGCAGTGTCCGAATGACAAAGTAAAAGTTGCCTCCTGGCGGGGAAGTATGTTTGGAATTTACTTCTAGAAAAAAATGTGTATGTGCAAGCAGATAAAATGAAAACTAAGGAATCTGGGTGAAGGGTATTTTAGGAGTTCTTTGTACTATTATTTTAAACAGCTGTTTGTACATTAAGTATTTTTTAAAAGTCATCTCTCACGGCCCCACCCACAGAGGGAATTAAGCCGGGGACCCTGAGAGGTGCCTGTGTGCTGGGCATTTACATTCATTTTCCGTCTAATCCTCAGCTGTTGAGGAGGTGACAAAGGTGAAGGCAGGTGACCAGGCCGGCACAACTTGGTGGTGTAGTACAACCAGAATTTGGATGCTGGTTCCTGGCCCTCCAGGCCTGTACGTACTCATCCTTTCCCCAGGGAAGGACTGGCATCTTGGGGGCCTGTTGTCTCCGTCACCTGCCTCTGTCATCATATCCTTGGCACATCACGAGCCTGTGCTCACCGAGAGCAGACGGGGGACAGTGCAGGAGTTTCTGGAATGGGGCAGTGGGTGGGGGGGCTGCCATCCTGGGACTTGAAGGAAAACGGCCAGGGTATGGAGGGAATCGCAGCCCCTAACCAGCCAGCAGGCGGGCCCCCGTGTCTAGCTTTCCTGGGGCATCCGAGGCTCTCAGGAGGCAGCCCTGACCCCCAACCCCCTTCTGTCCTGCCTGTCCTCCAGGAGCTGAAGCTGCCTGCCTTCCGAGCCCACTCCCCACTCTTGAAGAGCCGCCGGTTCTTTGTCGACATCCTGAGCCTGCTGAGCGGCCACTGCCAGCTCTGTCCCACGGCCCGGCACCTGGCCGTCTACCTCCTGGACCACTTCCTCGATCGCTATAACATCACCGCCTCCAAGCAGCTGTATGCCGTGGCGGTCTCCTGCCTCCTGCTCGCAAGTATGTGCACTCGCCGCTTCCCGCCGACCCCTCCCTTGAGCCTGGGTGCTCCTGAGTCATTTCACGTTCCTGAGGTCTTTGCATGTCTTCTGTGTCTGTCCATTGCTGAGAGCGAACTGTAGTAATAATAATCAACATTTTCTTTAGCGTCTGTAATGTACCAGGCTAAGCGATAAGGATTTTTGCGGCTTGATCTTAATCCACACAGTGACCCCAGGAGATGGATACCTTAGTACCCGCCCCCCCCCCGCCATTTTACCTATGCACAGAGAGATTAAGAAGCTTGCCTTGGGTCGTCTATCTTAGTAGATAGCCAAGATCTGAGCCCAGCAAGGCATGGTGCCAAAACATGTGCTCTGAAGTCCATGTCACCTGCTTCCTGGCATCAGGCCTCTCAGAGTGTGCTAGAAGGGAAACCTGAGCAACCACTGTTCTTAGAGCTGTTTAGAAATGGGACTGCTTGATTGGGGCCTAGCAGGACCCACTGTGTGGTCACCAGTCCTGAGCACTGGCCTCCTAGCGTTTGCCTCTTCCAGCGGGGCCTCACAAAACACGCAGCATGGCTTTGACCATCCGTCCGTCTGCCTTGGTAGAGACGACCGCATCACTACGCTGCTCGGATCATGCGCTTAAAATACCGTTCTGTCCTGCCATCCTGCCTCTTAGAATCGCGCCCTGGTTTACCAGCAGTCTGAGGATAGGGATCAGCTGTCAAGGTCCTGTCTCTCTGACCTCAAGCATCTTCAGCCAAGCCCCCCTGCTATCACAGACCTTCGCACATGCTGTCTCTTCTGCCTGGCGAGCTTCCCTACCCCACCCCGCCTGTGTGGTCCTAGTTAAATGTCACTCGGGCCCTGCATCCCTGAGAAACCTTCCCCCAACTGCCCTGGGCAGGTGAGATATCCCTGATACATGTTTCCATGGCATTGTGTACTTTTAATTAACACCCACCTCCCCTACGAAACAGTGAGTTTCAGGGAGGGTAAGGAGCCCAGTACATCATAAGACATCAAAATATATATATATCTAGGTGGAGTAAAGGAATGAATGGAGCTAGGGGTTCCTTCCGCGTTGGGTCCCGTGCTTCTCCAAGGTGCCCTGCCAAAGAGGGGTGATATGCAAAGTGGTCAGCTGTGGTCATGACCTTTCCTTGACATCTAGTGTTTTCTCCTTAGAATTCAGTCAGATTTGACATTCCCCTCCACAATATGTTATCATCCTGTTTTATTATGTCAGCCCCTCCCCAATCCTTGAGTCCCATGGGTGCCTCAAGAAGATAGTACCCGTTTTCTCCTGTGGCTTTGTCTGCTCTTGGCATGCTGCCGTGAACCCCTGTGGGCACGATCACCCAGTTCTAGAAGCATGGCTTTCGAGTTTTAAACACTCTGTATTGTTTTCCGCCATGGCACCATCCACCTGCTGTTATTCATAATCCCTTTTGCGGCTTTGAGTTTACAGCCTCCCAGTTTGTGATTTGCTCTACCTTGGGCCTGCTGGATTTGCCGTGTTCTACGGAGAAGGCAGTGTTGCTGGGTGGGAATCCCGCCTGCCTGTGACTTCAAAGTCCCAAAGCGACATGCCGCTCTCTTCCATCTTGGGCTTACAAGACATCCCCATCAGCCTCAGCCGAGGGCAGAATGGGCATCGCGTTTCAGGTGGCCCAGGAGGAGTCTGCGCCGTGGCCTTTGGCCTGCAGCTGTCTGTGATCTTTCGGCTGCATCGAGGCCCCATGGGGGCAGGGGGACTTAGATTTCCATGGGGCCATGGAGGCTGTCCCCCAGCATCTGTCTGGGGAGCTGGGACATGAGGCGCACACTGGAGACTCCTTTGTGCTGCTGCCGCCATGGTGGAGGGAAGGGAAGGGGGCCTTTCAGACGGAGAGGCAGACACCCCCACCCACATGTCTGAGGGCGGCAACCAGCCTGGGGCGGCAGGAACGGAGTTTTCAGGACACCTGCCATATGCTCAGAGGCCTTAGGAAAGAAAAGTTTCCATGACAGCCTGAAATCCTATTCATTGTTCCTTCCCCTCTCCCCAGGCTGACTGTTGGCCACAAGGGGGGTCACCTTGCCTCAGGAAGCTTTGAGTTCTGCTAATTCAGTACCAAATAATTCCTCAATAAGAAGAGCTACAGTTCTTGCCCCCACCTTTCGGTTCTTCAGGTTTTAGAGCTGCTTCCAGATAAGGGCCTTGGCACAGATGGAACCTTCTCACCTACGTACACCACCATGCCCCCATGCATAAATCAGGGGTCGGTCAAGGGGCCCTTGTCTACAGGCCAATGGAAAGAGCAAGAGCTTATAGGTTGTCCCATGGCCGACGTGTGGCAAAGCCACCCCATGGGCTTCCTATGACTGAGTTACCTGCATTTCCTATACAGGAGAGCATCCTAATCTAAATCTAGTCTAGACAGAGGTATAGTAGAGCCGTTCTCTCCGCTCTCTTCTTCGTCTTATACAGCTTCCCTCCTCCTCTGTCTTTTTGTGGTTGTTGCTGTAGTTGCTTAATTAAAAGGGTAATTTGACAGCATGGAGACCCCACCACTTCCAGGTGAGTTGGCTTTGACAGTGTGCCTTTACTGTCGTCCCAGCGGGGGCAGCTTTGTTACTTACTGGTCCCTCTCTGTGCGCCCAGCCCTGTGCCAAGCACTTAACAGCCACATCACATGGAATCCTCCCAACCAGCTTACGTGGTTGTGCTGTCATCTGCCCCTTCCAGAGGCTCAGAGAGGCTGAGGAACTTGCCTACGGTCACACAGCTCAGAGTTTCATTTATTTTTAATTGCGGTAAAATTCATATCACAACGTGAGATTTACCATTTTAACCAATGTAAAGCGTACAGCTTCATGGTGTTTAATCCATTCACACTGTTGTGCAACCGTCCCCTCCCTCTAGTTCCAGAACATTTTCATCACCCCAAAAGGCACTCTTGTATCCATTAAGCAACCGCTTCCTGCTCCTTCCCAGTCCCAGCCCCTGGCAACCACTTGTCTGTTTTCCGTCTCTATGGATTTGCCTATTCTGGATATTTCGTATGGAAGAGTCACACAGTATGTGAGCTTTTGTGTCTGGTTTCTTTCACTTGACGTTTTCAAGGTTCATCCACGTTGTGGCACACATCAGTACTTCGTGCCTTGTTATGGCTGTTGTATGGATATACTGCAATTTGTTTATCCTTTTATCTGTTGTTGGACGTTTGGGTTGTTTCCACCTTTTGGCCGTGAGGATTGATGCTGCTGTGGAACATGCACCGCTGGCTTCGTTAGAGCACCTGCTTTCAGTTCTTTTAGGTGTAAACCTAAGGGTGGAACGGCTGGTTGGAATGGGCTCTTCGGTGTTGAACTGTTGAAGGAGACTCTAGAGTTTTGCTTTAGCCCAGCTATTGCTGCTCAGAGATGCCTGGGTGTTGAGTCCTTGGTCCCGGGGCCTGGAGCGGCCGGAGGCAGGGGATAGGGAGTGAGGGGCACCTGGGTTAAGTCGGTTAAGCATCTGACTCTTGATTTCGGCTCAGGTCATGATCTCAGGGTCGTGGGATGGAGCCCTGCCAGGGCTACGCGCTGAGCGTGAAGCCTGCTTGGGATTCTGTCTCTCCTTCTGCTCCCCTCCCCCTCCCATGTGTGCTCTCTCTCTCTCTAAAAAATTTAAAAAAGGAGAGAGGGTGGGAAAGAAAACCAGAAAGGCCAGAGCCATGACCAGGGTGGCCTTTTAGCTAGGGCAGCATGGCCTTCAACGTTAAGACATTATTATGACGATTAAAAAAAAAAAAAGTATGAGATACATTTTTATTGCAAAAAAAAAATTTGTATAAAAAAATTTGGTTTCCCTGAAACCTGTAGTCCTGTTGCCACAGTTTGGTGTGTATACTTCCAGACCCAGACTTACTTATGTGTTTTCATAATTGGGAAAATAAATCTATTTTTATTTACAAGGGAGAAAAAAATGAATCCTAGATTACACCCATATGAACTGCCCAGTAAACAAAATTGCAGGATTCCCCTCTTTTCCCCCTTTTTCATTTTTTTCTCTCTCCATATGTAACCCCAGTTCCATCATACTTTCTCTTCTGGACCGTGAGCCCCATCCTGCCCCTCGCTGACTGCTTCTGGTACGTGAAAGGCAGGAAAAGCTAAGGATGACAAGTCTGTTTCTTGGGGTAGAGTTCTGACTTTCAGGTTTTTGTAGGTGAGGCCGAATCCTCTGCTACCCTTCATCTCAGCTCTCATCCCCCTCCCCAGGAGAGGGGAGCATCAAGCAGGAGGGTGGTCACGTGGCCTTTCTGCAAGGCACTGGTCCCCATGTAGGGCCGGATCCTTTAGTCCAGACTGAATCTGCCATGCAGTGCTGCACGTACCTGGAGAAAGGCTCCTTTTCCTACTGTACGTTTTTATTTTATTTTACTTTATTTTATTTTATTTTATTTGAAGATTTTATTATTTGAGAGAGAGAGAGCGTGCGCACGAGCAGTGGGGAGGAGCAGAGGGAGAGGGAGAGAGAATCTCCAGCAGATGCCACACACTGAGCGCAGAACTCAACACGGGGCTTCATTCCCACAACCCTGAGATCATGACCCGAGCGGAAACCAAGAGTCGGACGCTTAACCTTCTGAGCCCCCCAGGTGCCCCTCCCCTACAGATATTTTAACAGGGAGATTCAAAGAATAAAGTAAAAAACCTGTTGCCCATCCCACTCGCCAAAGATAGCTTCTGGCAGTACTTTCTTCTTTTTCCAAAATTGAGCTGGTGTATTTCCTAGAAATGTTCTGTGCTTATAGAGACATAGGGTTAATCCTCACGATTAAAAGATTCTGTACTTGCAAATTTTCCTATCCACTGAAATTTATTTGTAACTTAAAAATCTGTATTCACAGAACTCTGGTGATCATTCGCGGACACGTGCAGTCACCCCATGTGCACGTTCCCAGCTGAGGTCAAACAAGGCAACGGTCTGCCTTCTTGTTTTCATCTCTCATACTTACAAACAAGGGTCTTTTTTTCAGTCCG